TTTTTTTTTAACAACGTATCAAAGTTAAATGTCTTTAGTATCTTTTACTTTTTTAATATATTACAATTATTTACATACTAATAAATTTTTTTTTGTGAAATTAAAAAACGTAACTTACAGAAAAAAATGACGTTAACTTACGACTAATGTTATTAAACCAAAATAGACCTTTATATTTTTTTATTTTTTTAAATCAAGAACTTTTTTAATTGTTATAATCTTTTACTTAACGTACCTTTTTAACTCTACCATTAAAATTTCATTTTTACCCTTTATTTTTGTCTCATATACCAATTTTTTTGTTAATCTAGCTAAAGTTTCTTTTTATATTTAAGTGTAAAATTATTTTATATATCAACATTTTTTTTTTCTAATCTTTCACAACCAAATCATGTCTTAATGTGAATAAGTTTTTTTTTCTTTTTATAAAAAATAGATTTTGATTGTATTTTTAAAAATTAATTGAAATTTCAATACTATATTTTGAGTGATTTATTATATTATTTACCAAAAAATAATGATTTACAATATTTAAATTTTATACATTTATGTGATATCTAAAGTGGAATGTTAAAAATAATAAAAAACGGTAGTGTATTGTTCACAAATTGCTTGATGATATTATCATTATTTAATGAAGCTTATTAAAGGCAAAATATTATTTTGGTATTTTATTATTGAAAAAATATTTTACAATTTATACTATATTTAACTGCAAAATATAAATTCTTGAATGAGGGATGAACCCTTGATATTAAGGGTCTTGTTTTATTGAAATATCTTTATTTTATAGTTTGATATAATTTAAATTAAAAAATAAACTTTTTTATTATTTATTTCTAATAATAAATTTTTAGCTATATTTTTTTTCTTTAGTTATATTAATATGGTCAAACTTTATTTAAAAGTTAGATAAGATAACTAAATCCAATCGAATGAAATATTATTTATATACTATGTTAAAATTTTATGAAAATAGTATTTATCCGCCTTACCTCATAAAGATTATGAGAAATATTATTTCAAAATTACATCATTTTAATAAACACTTATTAAAAAAGATTAAAATATCTTTTTTTTAAAGCATGAATTGATGTGTTTTTTGTCATTTTTTGTAATGCTTTATTAAAACGACGTAATTTTGAAATAATTTTTCTCTTAATTTTTAAAAGGTAAGACAGACAAATACTAATATCAAAATTTATTTAAAATTTATATTTAAAAAGTCAAAAAGTAAAATTAAGAGTACTTAGGATGAATAAAGGGAGTATAATAATATTAAGGGTTTTTTTGTATCTTAAGGTATACGTTAGTAGTACATTTTCGGCATAAATGTATGTAAATAAATGTAAAAATTAATATTAATTTTAGTATCATTGATGAAAAATAAATTTAATTAAACTATTGATAGGTTAAAGTTAATTTTTATATTTCAATATAGATTAAAAAGAAAAAACTGTATTTATTATTTCTTAATATGTACCCTAAAACATATTTTAAAAAACCCTGATACTTAAAATGCCTTTATCAATAGAAATACTAAAATGCTCTTAAATTTTCTGGACCAGAAAAAAATTTCCACCAACCGAACACGCACACAGAACTAGTTCAGGGCCAACTTTCAGGTCTACAATGTGAGCCCACTGTGATAGTCCAATGGGCCAACGCAAGTGAAAAAAAGAGCTGCCGCAAAAGCCCACTCACTTTTTTTTTTCTTTTTTTTTAATTTCTTTTTTGTGTTCACTCAGCTATTCAGCTGTGCTTTTATTCATTCCGGCTCTGCTGTCCTCCGCGGCGAACCTCCGGCCTCCTCCATTGATTGAACTCTGTTGATTACGTCTCGTCTGAGGTAATGTACTTCACTCCATCGTTGCTGCTAGGAGAAGGTTTTTGATTCTGAGATTCGAACTTGTGTGATTTCAATTAATAGAAGCTTTTGAGGTAATTTACATCAGCTGTGCTTGTTTCACTCCGGCTCTGCTATCCTACGCGGCGTACCTCCAGCCTCCTCCATTGATTGAACTCTGTTGATCACTTCGCCTCTTAGGTAATTTATTTCGCTCCGTCGTTGCCACTAGGAGAAGGTTTTTGATTCTGATATTCGAACTTCTGTGATTTCAGTTAATAAGAAGCCTCTGAAGTAATTTACATTAGCTGTACTTGTTTCACTCTGGCTCTGCTATCCTACGCGTCGAACCTCCGGCCTCCTCCATTGATTGAACTGTGTTGACCACGGCGCCTCTGAGGTAATTTACTTCACTCCGTCATTGCCACTGGGAGAAGGTTTTTGATTCTGAGATTTCAACTTCTGGCTTTTTCTTCTTTCTTATTTTTGCTTTGAACTGATTTACTTAGGAAAATGAAACTCTAATATTGTCTGGACCATCTGAGTGTTTTGCTCTTCAGGCAGTTCAAGAAGTTATAAAACCTCAGGTATTTGCTGTACATCCAGTTGTTTGATAATTGAGTGAGTTTGGTCTTAAGCTGTTAAGCAAATGCCTTTACTGGTTATCTTATGTCAGTGTGAGAAAGTCATTTTATTCATTTCATAATTCTTTAGGTGTGCAGTTTTCTGGTTGAGAGAGTCATGTAAACAATTGATCCTTGGATGTGATCTGATGGCATGTTTTTGTGTGATTTGTGTAATCTAGTCCCTTTTGGCGATTATTATTTACTGGTTTGATTCTTCTCTTGGCAGAAACAAATAAATTAGCATGGGGTGAAATCAATTGCTGGAGAATATGCTTCGGACATTACTCCAGGAATTGGCAGAAGGTTTCTATATCTGGTGGTCAAAACAGAAATTTGCCTTTTTTTTGTTTTTATTTTTTTTATTTTTTTATTGTGGTTAACATGACTACTTCACTGACCTGAGCCTGAACCTTTCTAGTTTTGCTTTATGGCAGTCATCAGCAGTTCAGTCAGTAGAGGAAGTCATGCAGTATGGAAAGTCAATTGATGATGGAGAAAATATGCAGGGTGTCATCCCATGCCTTCTAGGTCTGTAAATTCTTTTTCCTGATAACATCTTATATTCTTCTGTCAGGTGTTTCCATATTTATTGCTTCTGAAATCTCACCTTTTGGCTTATCTAATTTTTTATAAGCCAAACCATTTTTGATCACTTTATATTTATTTTTCTTTTCTTGTCTGTCAGACATTGTTCTCTATCTTTGTGAGAAGGAACATGTCAAGGGTAGTATGATATTCCAGCTGCTAGAAGACTTGACAGAGATGTCTACAATGAGAAATTGCAAGGACATTTTCCGATACAAAGAGTAGGCAAGACATACTGGGGAAGGTATGTTTGAAAGGTTGATTGATGTTTTTGTTTCCTCCATGGCTTCTCAAATCCTGTAATGGCACATGTACTCTGGGTTGTCCCTATTTATTCTGGAACCTGGGTGAGTTTCTTACAGCAAGAGCTGTTTGCTTGAGGAAAACTTGTGATGCTAAGAACTTGCAATCAGCTTCTTCACCAACTGTCAAAGGTAGTAACAAACTTTAGTCAGCTCTTTGTTTATTTATTTATTTAGACATATCAGGCAATTATTTTTATATTTGCATACTTGAATAAGTATTATGCTGATCAAAATAAAAACTTGACAAAATATCATCAGGTTTATTACAATTTTCATACAATTTAACTTGTATTCTTTTTACAAACTCAATTGCACTTGACTTTATAGGCTAGTGATGTAGTATTTTGTGCACAAATCCTCATGTTTCTGGCACATTTCTTTCCAGTGTCTAAACATTCAGGTATTTGTTTTTAGGTCACTGCCATGCTGACAGACTGCATGTTGACTTCTATGGATTTTCTCTTTTTCTTTGCTCCCAAGTTTGTTTTTCCCTCACTTCAAATTTTATTGCAGCTGTGAATATAAAAGGAGTTTTTAACACAGCAAATGAGACAAAATATGAGAAAGATCCTCCTGAGGGTACATTGTAGCTAGCTCTCATTTCATTTATACTGTAGCTTGTATTTGCTTTGTGATGTCCATATGTTTCTTGCTTTGAAACATAAGCTGATTCATGTTCATGACTTTTTTTCAGGCATTTCTGTTGATTTCAACTTTTACAAAACATTTTGGAGTTTACAGGTAAGTTTTTCCATTTGAAACTATAGCTAGTGGAAGATTCCTACTGAATTTCCTTGTTTGGATATTCAGGAGTACTTCTGCAACCCTGCTTCCCTCACTCTTGCTCCTGTAAAGTGGCAGAAATTCACATCTAGTTTGACAGTATGCCTTGTCGTTCATTATTTGTTCTTTGATATGAATATTGCTATGTTTTCTTTCAATCCATACCCATTTTACTATAATTTTAACGTATTTGCCTTGGTGTCAACTTGGTCCCCTGAATTTTGAGATCTGTAGATTGTGTTGGATACCTGTGAAGCTCAGCCTTTGAGTGATGAAGATGGAGATGCTAACATTCTGGAGGAAGAGGCAGTAACTTTTAATATAAAATATCTTACAAGCAGTAACCTGATGGATTTAGAGGTAAGTGTTATTGAGAACAATTGAGAAGGAATCCATGCAAAATATTTTGTTTTAACAAAATTATTTCTGTTGGAACCAGTTAAAAGATCCAAGTTTTTGACATCATATTCTGGTGCAGTGCCTCATGTTGTTTCATTAACTGAAGGTAATGACTGGTACATTTGGAATCTTATTCATGTACTCAATATTCCCATTTCCTACAAGTTATTTATATCTCTAACTCTTATTTTCATCTAGGTCCCTGGGAAGAATGATAAAGATTCATCTGAAACCATGGTTAGTGCTTTGTTGTTAATAAATTTATGTTTTTATGTAGTCATAGTAATTACATAACTCTTTTTAAAGGAGAATGGTAAGTATTTCTTCCTCAAATTACAAGTGCATCCCGATTCCCAGGCATTCCAGGGCTCCAATCAATATATAGTGCATGCTGAAAAAACAAAACAAAAGTTAAGCAAATGTAGAAGATAGCAAGTTTATACTCTTCTAGCAACAATATCAGGAGGAATGTTTTCCTGTTTAAATATCCTGTTATTGTGATCTTGCCATAAACTATACAGTAATGCAGCTGTAGTTCATGCATACATACTGACACAGACAGCTTCACACAGGCACCTGTAAAAGGTTATGAAATTCACCTTTAAAATTTTTTCATTTTTGGAAAGAAGAATTAAAGTCC